AGGCTGCGTTTTCTAAGGTGTATTATGCGTATTGGTAACGCCTGTAGAAGGCTGCGTTTTCTAAGGTGTATTATGCGTATTGGTAACGCCTGTAGCAGGCTGCGTTTTCTAAGGTGTATTATGCGTATTGGTAACGCCTGTAGTACTGTGTTGTTTTGTTTGTGTGCTTTGGTGCTGTGCTGGCTGTGGCTGTGGGTGTTTCTTTGGTGCTTTTCCTTTTGGCTTTTTGGCTTGCTTCTTCTTTTTTTTTTGGCTGGCTTTCTCCGGGGGGCTTTTTTATTTTTTTTTGGCTGGGCTTTGTTTTTCTCTTTTTTCTTTTTTTTCTTTTTTGCTTTGCTTTTTGGCTTTTTTTTAGGCTTTTGGCTGGCCTTTTTTTTTATTTTTTTTTGCTTTTTTTTTTTTGTTTCCTTTTTTTGCTTTATTTTTTTTGTTTTTTTTGGCTGGCTTGTCTTTTTGCTGGCTTTCTTTCTTTCTGGCTTTTTTTTTTTTTGCTTTTTTCTGTTGGCTTTTTGGCTTTTATGCTTTTTTTATCTGTTTTATCTTTATTGGCCTTTTTTTGGCTTTTTTGGCTCTTTTTTTTGTTTTTTTTTTTTTTTTTTTTTTAGCTTTGCTGTTTTTTTCTCATTTGGCTTTTTTGCTTTTCTTCTGCGTTTTCTAAGGTGTATTATGCGTATTGGTAACGCCTGTAGCAGGCTGCGTTTTCTAAGGTGTATTATGCGTATTGGTAACGCCTGTAGCAGGCTGCGTTTTCTAAGGTGTATTATGCGTATTGGTAACGCCTGTAGCAGGCTGCGTTTTCTAAGGTGTATTATGCGTATTGGTAACGCCTGTAGTAGGCTGCGTTTTCTAAGGTGTATTATGCGTATTGGTAACGCCTGTAACAGGCTGCGTTTTCTAAGGTGTATTATGCGTATTGGTAACGCCTGTAGAAGGCTGCGTTTTCTAAGGTGTATTATGCGTATTGGTAACGCCTGAAGCAGGCTGCGTTTTCTAAGGTGTATTATGCGTATTGGTAACGCCTGTAGAAGGCTGCGTTTTCTAAGGTGTATTATGCGTATTGGTAACGCCTGAAGCAGGCTGCGTTTTCTAAAGTGTATTATGCGTATTGGTAACGCCTGAAGCAGGCTGCGTTTTCTAAGGTGTATTATGCGTATTGGTAACGCCTGTAGCAGGCTGCGTACTTTAAGGGAGTAGGGGGGGGCAGTATTAATCTGTGTGCTTATGGCTCAGTGGGCTAAAGGCTACCGAGGCCCTCTGGTGTCGCGAGTGAATAGGTTTTCAACTGTTCCCAGCACACAGGTAGGTCTTTAAGGGAAGGTTGGTCTTTAAGGGAAGGTAGGAGGTCTTTAAGGGAAGGTAGGAGGTCTTTAAGGGGATGTTTTTTTAATCGTTATAGCGTCTGGGTGTATATATTTTATTATATTCATGGGTTAAATTGATACCTATTGGTAACGCCTGTAGCAGGCTGCGTTTTCTAGGATGCATTATGCGTATTGGTAACGCCTGTAGCAGGCTGTGTTTTCTAAGGTGTATTATGCGTATTGGTAACGCCTGTAGCAGGCTGCGTTTTCTAAGGTGTATTATGCGTATTGGTAACGCCTGTAGCAGGCTGCGTACTTTAAGGGAGTAGGGGGGGCAGTATTAATCTGTGTGCTTATGGCTCAGTGGGCTAAAGGCTACCGAGGTCCTCTGGTGTCGCGAGTGAATAGGTTTTCAACTGTTCCCAGCACACAGGTAGGTCTTTAAGGGAAGGTTGGTCTTTAAGGGAAGGTAGGAGGTCTTTAAGGGAAGATAGGAGGTCTTTAAGGGAAGGTAAGAAGGTAAGGGAATGGTGGTTTAATCGTTATAGCGTCTGGGTGTATATATTTTATTATATCAATGGGTTAAATCATTCCATGTTTAGGTAATGTAGGTCATAGGTAGGTCCTTCCCCATTTTCCATTTCATATATTCCTGGGATGGATGTGGTATTTCCTATTGCGGATGTCTCTACGCAAATCCTCTTCGTCCTTTCAGAGTGCTGTCTGCCGAGCCTACAGAAAATGGAGAACGAGAAGAAAGAAAACGGATCAGATGGATGTCGGAAAACGAGCACAAGAAGATAGACATGAGAGTACGGTGCCGCCCATCCGTCATATTACCAACGGCCAATGAAAATGTTTTTTCTTTCGTATTTCAGATTTACTAACGGGGCATTCTGTGAAAATTAGATCAAGTCTCCATTTCTATAGTTGTATTTAGTAGAGTAAGAAAAGGGTTAATGTTACCAAGAGCGACGCACGCAGATAGAGCAAAATGGACATCGCCATCTTGTAGAGCATCAAAAATAGAGTAGGAATCAATACATCTAAATCTGCAGCGGCCTCGTATTTACCGGGAAATGACAAAAATATGCTCGGCATGGCCCCGCTCTGTTTACCTTGCCAGGACCAAAACAAAAGTGACGCGTAACTCATTATTGCGATCTATCAAGTAGTCCATGTATTACTACGCGCTTGTGAAAACGATTATTTTGTAATTACCAGTGTCTGTGTTTCCGAATTCATGCATCTAATGAATTCTTTTACTTTTATTATACTTCTTTTAGGTGTTTTGGTAACTATTTACACTATTTTGCACAATAACCCTGTGCGCATGCGCGTTTTTCCAGCGGGAGATTTGAGTCATTGGTTACATTCTAGGTGTGTTGCGTCGATTCCGGGTCGTTTTTAAAGGCATATAGTGGATATATAGAACCAATAGATATTAGTGTCTATCTCAGCGTGATACATGAGCCCAACAAGTGCCCCAAATGTCGAAAAAAGTGATTAGAAACCAAGGAATTCGGACCATAGACGGAACTCCAAGAAAAGTTCGGTCTTTCGCTACATAAAGGTCTGTGGTTTTACCCTTGGGGTTCAGAGGGTAGAGTCCCTTGGCTGGGGAATATACAGAGCGTATTTTCTTAAAGCCACGGGGGTCCAGGGGGCGTAGCCCCCTGGCTAGGCGCATATGATTAGGCTAGGTTAGGCTAGGCTAGGTTTGGTTAGGCTAGGTTTGGTTAGGCTAGGTTTATA